TAGTAGCCCACCCCATTTGAGCTCCAATCATCTACACCTGCTGGCAGGTATTGATTGACTCCCGAGGTCTGTGGGACGCCCAACCTCTCCCTACTTCTTCCCGAGGAATTGAGAGAAAGACGCTGGCCACGCCAAGTTGGAACGCAGGGGTGAGAATATATACCTGCTATGTGTCTATTTTGCATGCATTTAATAAGAGCTCAGAGAACCAAAAGGGTTTCATGGTACCTGTAAGTAACTTATTAGTGTAATTTCTGTCCTGTCCTTTGTAGTGGCTGTGTTATCTGTAACACAGTAGTAGCATTTAATAGCTAAGTTTACCCTGTAACAATAAAATAGTAACTGTTTAAGCTGTGACCTGACTCCTTCAGTTGCTGTAACAGAACCAAGCACAATTTTAAAAAGAACTCCAGCCGGTCATAAGGGACAGATATAGGGAGACCTTGAGCATTGGATTGTGTCACTTCCGGGGGACAGATCCATTGGGGCATCTCTCAGCCTCCCCAGGCTGCCCGCTGCGAAGGGATCGTGTATCCTAGCAGTCAAAATCTGAGGTGTAATAAGCTCTCCCTGTAAACTTCTTGGGGCACCCGTCAACCTTCTCCAGGTTTCCCGCTGCGAAGGGACCCCGGTCCCAGCAGTTGAAGCCTCGGGTGTATAACACACACACACACACACCACTCACTGCCCTGACCATCGGCTGACAGTGGATAAAAACATGTGAGAGAAAGGCCCAATGAAACAGACCATGAAACTGAATTATTAAGCAGCAGCAGAGTACATAGACAGGAAGGGTAATAAGTCAGGGTCATTAGTTAAAACAATGCAATGACCTTTTTGGGCTTAAAAAAGGATGAAGAAAGTCTGAGCACGTCAGCCCAAGGTTGGAAGCAAAATCATTGTGAGAAATAAAGCTATCTTAATTTCAGCCTGTTGTAAATTTTCAGTGTAGAGCTTCCAAGGGAGGGAGGAAGGAAATATTCAACAACCAGAGGAGCAGAACTTGGCACAATCCCCAAGGCACAGCTGGAAAAGCCTGAGGATTCAGGTGACAGGTGAGCACCAGAGAATGGTGAGATTGCAAGAAAAAGGTGGGCCCATCCTCTGGGTAGTCTCTCAACAGCAAAACCCAGGCCTGAAAGGATACACTGAAGGATACCTCTACACTGAAGCTGGAAGGTGTAATTTCCAGCTTAGGGAGACATACTTGTTGTGCCAGCTCTGATTGAGGTTGTGCGCTAAAAATAGAAGTGTAGCTGAGGTGGGATGGGCTAGCCAGCCTGAGTATGATCCCTTCTGAAAATCTAGCTTCTCTGGCAGCTTGTGCCCCCTCCACAATGCTTTTTTTTAGCACATTAGCTCTGTCAGAATTAGTGCAGATCTCAATATGGACATTATACCTTCCAGCTGGAACAGATATATCCGTTGAAGGGTTTCAACCGGGGTTGACACATGCTGTGAGCTTATCATTGTCCATTGTGAGGAAGCTCACAGTACTACTGCCATGCTATATCTGGCTTGCAGATAAACAGAGGACCCAGACCCATGGTTTTCAATCCAGAACCTTTCACCTGTGCTAAAATCGACAAATCTACTATATTAATTTACAATTTAACACGTAAAGAAAGATAAAAAGAAAGAAATGAAATTCTTTACTGCGACTGACTCAGATTCAACCATTGTTTCTGTTAGTTTCTAAAAATGTAACGCATGAATAAGGACTGGAGGCCTATGAAATCTCTAAATATATATTTTAGAGAGTTTGTGCATCTGACTATCTGTCCATCCATCTGTGAGTCTGTTTGTTCAAGGACTCCTCCTAAATGGTAAAAGCTAGGACCACCAAATTAAGTATGCAGCTTTCTCTTATCATAACTTAGAGCGAGGTCAGGGTTTAGTTGTGCCAGAGAAACAGGATGTGCCTGGAATGGGATTGTTTTCCATAACACAGAAAGGGAGGGGTCTGAGAGCAGGGACAGTTATGCACCGCAATGACCACTGGGGGCAGCAAGCATGGAGGGCAGTTGTACTGTAGTGTAGAGTGACCGTAGGGGGGGCGGTCTCACCAGTAAGAGAGTGGCCATCTGGGCTGGGGCTCTCCAGATTGCCAGTCACTGGTCCCTTAAGTGCCCCTCTTGCCCCAAAGCCTCTGGGCAAACCCCTCCCCCATGACCCTTGGCTACAGCACCAGACCTGGGGTGGGCCCTGCCACCATGGCCCCCTTGGGGAGCACTGCTAGCTGAGCAGCACTGACCAAATCCCCCCTGGAGGAGCTGCTGGCTGGCCCACACAGCCCTGTCCCCTCCTCCGGAGGTGCTGCCAGCCTGGGCCAGGCAGAGCTCCCCAGCCTTATCCCAGGAGGAGTTGCTATCTGGAGCCAGCCCTCCATGGAAGAAGCCACAGTCGGAGCACTGCTCAGGCCCCTGCCCTGAGTCTGTGACCTCCTGCACTGATTCCTGCAGTCCTCCTGCCCTAAGCCCCCCCAAACCCTCTCAGCCCCCTGTCATATGGATGGGTCCCAGGGCAAGCCAGGGGATTTTCTGGGGGGAAGGCCTAGCACAGGGAAGCAGCAGGGATTCCCCCCCACCCCCCACCGTGGTAGCAGGATCCAGAGCATCCTGACAACCTGCTCTGCTCTGCTCTGCCCTACCGCCCTCTTCCAGCCCACTATGGTTGAGTTCACCACAGCAGGAACCATTGCACCCCAGCCCCAGGACACCCCTCTTCCCACGCTGAGGAGAAGCAGGGTGCAGTGGGCTGGAAAGTGGTGGGGTGGAGTGGAGCAGAGCAGGCTGCTGGGCCTTTCTGGACCCCGCCATTATCGTGAGTGTTGAGGGGGGGGACTCAACCCTGCTGCTGCCGCCTTGCATCAGGCCCTCATAATCCCCAGGCTCAGGGGAGAGGTGTAGCAGGGGCGGGAAAGCAGGAGGGGTAGAGTTTGGGGGAAAGGGTGGAGCAGGAGTGGGGCAGGGGCGGGGTCTGCAGTACGAGGGTTGGCCTGGGACCTGCATCTGGGGTGGAGCAGGGTTGCCCCAGGATCCACCTCCCACCCCCAGCGGTGACTCTTGTGGCAGCGCTGCTGCAGCTGTGCTTTAATTTTAGAAGTGTAGAAAAAACCTCAGGATCCTATCTTCTGACAGTGACCAGTGCCAGATGCTTCAAGGGAATGGGCAGAGTAGGACAATAATCAAGAGATCTGTCCCTTGTCATCCACTCCCAGCAGCTGACAGTCAGGTGGTACACCCAGTCTGTGTCTAGACTAGCCAGTTTTTCCGGAAAATCAGCTGCTTTTCCGGAAAAATTTGCCAGCTGTCTACACTGGCCGCTTGAATTTCCGCAAAAGCACTGACTTCCTACTGTAAGAAATCAGTGCTTTTTGCGGAATTACTATGCTGCTCCCGTTCAGGCAAAAGTCCCTTTTGCGCAAAACTTTTGCGCAAAAGGGCCAGTGTAGACAGCTGAGATTTGTTTTGTGCAAAAAAGCCCAGGTCACGAAAATGGCGATCGGGGCTTTTTTGCACAAAAGTGCGTCTAGATTGGCCACGGACGCTTTTCCGCAAAAAGTGCTTTTGTGGAAAAGCATCCGTGCCAATCTAGACGCTCTTTTCCGAAAATGCTTTTAACGGAAAACTTTTCCGTTAAAAGCATTTCCGGAAAATCATGCCAGTTTAGACGTAGCCCCAGAGCATGGGAGTCGTATCCTGGACCATCTTGGCTAATGCCCATTGATGTTTTAATTTGGTTATACTTTTGGCCTTCACAACATCCAAGGGAACCAGTTCTATGTGTTGATAGTAAATTGTGTGAAGAAATACTTATGTTTGTTTAAAATCTGCTCCCTATTAATTTCACTCAGTGATTCTCGTGTTAAGGATAACACTTGTTCATTTTCTCTCAGCAGTCAAGTTTTCATAGACTGCTATTATATCACTCATCATATCACGTCTCTTCCAAACTGAATAGTCCTAGTTTTTAATCTCTCCTCATGTGCAAGCTATTCCATACTCTTAGTCATTTTTCTTGACTTTTTCTGTACCATTTCCCTTGCTGATATTTTTTATGAGATGGGATGACCAGCATGGCATGTAGTACTGAAGGTGTGCCTGTACCATGGATTTCTATAGCAGCATTATGATTTTTACTTCCTCGTTGTCTATTCCATAAAGTTCCCAACTTTTTGATGGAAAACTTCCCCACTGGTGACTTTTTTGGTACTCCACAGGAACATTGTCCAGAGTCATAGGGCATGGGCAGGCACCAAAAATCTGTTAGTAAGAAATAAATTTCAAACCAAAATGTTCGTCGTCTGCTCTTTTTTATGTCTCGAAAAGGAGGTGGTCCACGAACATTTTCTGATTGGCCTGGTGGCCCGTGGACTGAAGCAAGTTGAGAACCACTGCACTAGGCACTGTACAAACGAAGTAGTAGCCAAGTCCTACCCCAAAGAGTTTTACTCTAACCAGTCAGGAAAGACAAAGGAAGCAGAAAGGTTTGGGTTACACAAACAGAGCAAAGAATGTGTTGGTCGCAAACGCCACGACTCGTGCTCTGGTGTAACTGGAGTGATGCTGGTTCCTCCTGCACAATGGTTTGGCCACAGGAGCCTGCCAGGTCGCTGCTACCATCCCCGAGCGGCGGGGCTGCAAGGGACCCCTGGTTTGCTCTCCCTTCTCTGCTTTGTGCCAGGGTGCGATGGTCCTGACAGGGTTGGTGACAGTGGCGAGGAGCCCTCGGCTGCAAGTGCCACCTCCTCTCCTCAGCCCAGCAGCCCGCCAGACTCGCTGCCTGAAGCCCACGGAGCAGCTGGCCGCTCCGCCAAGTCTCCAGCGGGTGCGGAGATCTGAGGAGAGAGAGGAACCAGCCTGCAAGGGCGGTTGGTGAGGTTAGGGCTACGGGGTGGGCAGGGCTAGGCTGCAGGGGTTCTCCGCCCGCGCTGGCGGGCGGCGCCACGCGACTGGGCAACGATGAACCGTCAGCTCTGCCCTGCGGAAGAGGCGCGAGCGGGCGCCCGTTGGGCGGGGCCGGCCGAGCGGTGGGCGGGGCCTGTCTCCTCAGGGGCCCGGCCGCTCTCCTCCCGCCCTGCCAGAGCGCGCTGCTGACAGGGAGCGGCGGCGGTAGCATGGAGCCGGGCGCGGGGCAGAGGCCGTCCGTCTTCGAGCTGCCCAAGGTGAGCGAGCGGTGGGGACAGCGCCGCCGGCAGCCGCGTCCTTCCCTGGGCGGGGCGGGACACCTCTCCCGGCACCTGCCTGCCCCCTTCGCGGGCAGTGCGGGGCTGCCCCTCGCCCCCCTGCCTCAGCCACGCTCGCCCCGAGCTCCAGCCGCGACCTCAGGCGGCGGCGTCCCCGCTGTTCCCCTCCCTGCAGAGGCGTCCGCAGCGCACGGTCAGGACCGTTGTGCCGCGTTGTCAGCCAGAGCCGAGCGCGCCCCATTCTGCTGGGGAATGTCTCTCGCTCTATTCGCGCTGCGGTTGGCAACACGGCCCTGGGCGAGGAGCTGTGTGGGCACCGTCCCGTCCCCATCCTAGAAGGGAGCCTGGTTCTGGGAGCTACCACTTGGCATTTATGTCACTGTAACATTCAGATTGGAGTATTATAATTCATTAACTCCTTCCTTCAGGGTTGTTTGGAACCTTTGCAACGGCAAACTGCGGCTAAACTGCCTGGCTGTGTCTACACTGGGCCACTTATTCCGGAAAATCAGCCGCTTTTCCGGAATAAGCTGCGAGCTGTCTACACTGGCCCTTGAATTTCCGGAAAAGCAACGATGCTCTACTGTACAAAATCAGCCGCTATTCCGGAAAAACTATTCTGCTCCCGCTTGGGCATAAGTCCTTATTCCGGAACACTGTTCCGGAAAAGGGCCAGTGTAGACAGCCCAGTAGTCTTTTCCGGAAAAAGGCCCCGATCGCGAAAATGCCAATGTAGATGCTCCTTTTCCGGAAAAACTGAAAAGGGAATAGTATTCCGTTTTAAGCATTTCCGGAAATTCATGCCAGTGTAGACACAGCCCCTGGGTTGGTCCTGTTCCTGGATTGTCTCTTAGAAGGTGTTTGGCCACCCATTGCCTTCTGACAGCAGTAGGTCATGTTTGTGGGTAGCCAAAACTTAGGAAAATGAGGAACATATACCAAGATTTTGTGGGCAGCCCCCTCTTAGTTGTATTTTGCTCACAAAGGCTTGTGCACAAACTAGTCTTTAAGGCAGGTATTCGCACAGAACTACTCAACTTTGGAAGCCCCGGGGGCCCATGATGATCCTCACAGCATATGCCAAGGGGCCACAACTTAAGTGTGGTTGCATATACGTGCAAATATTTATATGCAAATAGCTTCTTTCACACTGATGGGCATGGACACAAAGATTAAAGCAAGACTACACAACACGCAGGTCCCATTTAAGTCGGTTCTCCTGATATTAATAAAATGCAATATTTACCCAATTTCCAGTCATGACAGCATTTTTAATGAGCAATGACAGTCCAGGAATTTAACTACTAAAACACATATCAACAGAAGGCCATTATATTGACTACTTTTTTGTTTTGGATCTCACCCGTGGGCTGTATATTGAGTCCCACATAAATCCAAACCACACTGGGCCGCAAACAAATGGGCTGCGTGTTGAGTAGCTGTGCTTTAAGGTGTCACAGGACTCCTCATTGTTTTTGTGGTTACAGACTAACCCGTCTATCCCTCTGTTACCTATACAAAGATAATTAATGACAAAAATAAACCACTCTTGAAAAAGTAAGCATTAAATGAGCTAGATATTGATGTAATCCTTTTGCAAGTCACCTGCAAATATTTCCCAGCAGTATTGTGGGTATATAGAGTTCATAATTCAAGTAGTGAAGTGAAAAGTATCTGGCAGTACAAGCTAGCGTATAAAGAAAATTATATAAAGGCAAGATTTTGAACTTTAGCTCATGGTCTGTGGTACCCACCCATACTGTCTTTCCTCCTTTTCCCAACCATCCAAACCTGGAGGGCAAAGGATATTTTTTCGGACTTCAATTAAAAATCTCAAAATATGGATGGTAAATTTTGCAATTTTAGAACTAATTTCCCTATTGAAAAAGTTCTATGAGACTGAGATTTAAACTTTCTGTTAATGTAAGCAAGTAGGAAAGAGAGATGACGTTCTGGGAATGTCCTGAAAGATTCTTTGTTGACTACCCAAACTTCCTAGTGAAATCAGTGCTGGAGAAAGGTGTCAAATTGATGGTCATGGGTTGGGCCTTACCAAAAACATGTCATGGACCATGCAATCTAGTCTTTTGTGTGTCATTACCTGATACTTACTGATTTCATGGTAGGGGACCAATGTTTCTCAGATTGGGGGTCCTGACCAAAAGCGATTTGCAGAGGGTCACAAGGTTATTTTCATATTGTCACCCTTACTACTACTCTGCTTTCAGAGCTGGGCAGCTGGAGAGCAGCAGCTGTTGGCTGGGTGCCCAATTCTGAAGCAGCAGTGCAGAAGTAACAGTGGCAATACCATACCATGCCATCCTTCTGTGCTGCTGCTGGCAGTAGGTCTGCCTTCAAATCTGGACTCTGAGCAAATAGCTGCCGCTGTCCAGTTGCCAGCTCCGAAGGCCTGAAGCTATACAGAAGTACAGTGGAGTCCGGATTATCCGACGTTTGGTAAGCCGACACTCCGCTTTATCCGACCCTGCAGCTCCCCAGAATAAAGCAGCACCGGCAGGAGCAGCATCAGTGGCTCCGGGGCGCAGGCCGGGAGAATGGTCCCGCTCGCTGCCCTATCACTCTCCTGGAGCTGCTGATGTTGCTCCTGCTGGCGCCGCTTCGTCCTGGGAGCTGCAGGATCGGATAAAGCACGGGGCGGGAGAATGGTCCCACTCGCTGCCCCATCGCTCTCTTGGAGCCGCTGATGCCTCTTCAGCTGGCACTACTTCGTCCCTGGAGCTGCAGGCATCATTGGTCCATTGGAGCAACGGGGCAGCAAGCGGGGCCATTTGCCCGCCACCTGCTCTGGA